CTATTATGTAAAATGCGATATTAATAATGTAATTGAATCGTTCGTTTGCACAATTAATGTCTAATTACGAATTTATATGAAAATTATATATTTCGACGTTATGGGGGTTTTCCAAGAAATCGACAGGCCTGCAAGTATAAAAGGCCGAACGAAACCTGCCTAAATCGCAGAACAGTTTTTGAAGTCGAGCGAGCTAGAAGTCTTCAGATAAGTATAACCGGAACAGTTTTCGCTGGCAAGAACCGAAACGATTCTTAACCCATTGACTGCCAGACATATTCAGAGCGTCTTGCCCTGGGTGCTGAGGTGATGTACGTGAAATGAAGACAATCGTGTATGTGGCAAAATACTTTATTGATATAGAAGGCGCGATGCGTTTACTGCGGAGATCGAGACTCGAATGTCTCCCCAAAAACATTTTCCGACGAAGGAGAAAACTCTCTCCTTTTTTAGGAAGTCCCGAGTGGAAAGGGCCGAGGGCCTCTTAGACCCGCCGAGCCAGCGCAAAATTATTTACAACTTAATGACTCTATTGACTCGACGGGTCAAAAGATCTCTGACAAAATCCAGACCTCGCTTCCCACTCGGAACTTTCCCTGTCGCCACAATAGTAAAAGAAATCGTGAAATCCACATGTTGTAAATGTTTCGTTATTATGCAATTTTCGCTGTGAAAGACAAATTGTAGTAATTAATACTGTTTGTAAAAACGTATGGCCATACACCTATAAATTAAAATTTTCTTACATACATTAATTCTCAAATTTTCCAATTACTGAATTTTTAAATGCGCTACTCTATAAATTATGAATTTCCACGTTCACTTTTCATGGTTTAAAATCGCCGAATTTAAAAATGTTCAAATTTCACAAATTCTAAAATTCTAAAATTCTAAAATTCTACAATACCGCAATTTTATAATTTTGCAACTTTGCAATTCTGCAATTCTATAATTGTGCAATTCTTCAAATATTCCATTGTTCAATTATTCAATTGTTCAATTATTTAATTGTTCAATTATTCAATTGTTCACTTGTTCACTTGTTCAATTATTAAATTACTCGATTATTCAGTTATTCAATTTTACAATTCTACAATTATACTATTCTACAATTCTGCAATTTTGCACTTATGCAATTATGCAATTCTGCAATTGTACAAATGCAAAACTGTAAAATATAAAAATTCCAGAATTTTAAATTGCTAGAAGCATAAATTTCTAAATCCTCAAACTTTTGCAGTTACGAAGTTTCAACGTTCTAAATTCTCGAATCTGCAAACATCTGTATTTTCAAGTTTTCAAGTTTCCATGTTTTCGCACTTTAAAATGTCTAAATTTTCAAAAATTTCCAAATTCAAAAATTCCCAAACACTAAAACGTTACTTCAATTTTTATAAAACTCTGTCTTTCCTCATTTTCATAATGAAACAAATTTCCAAGTTTCTAACAACGTGTCTTTACAAACGTTCGTATATAGTGATTCAATAAACATGTATCGGGGTGTGACCACGAGTACCCCCATCCCGCAATTAGTATGCTAAGGGATATAGCAGCGAAACGAAACGAAAGGAACGAATAGGAAGAAGAAATGGTTACGCAAACTGACGAGTGAAAATTTCGTGATGCGAGTGGATTCGAACTTCCGTCGAAACGTTATTTGTCTTAACGTGCACGAAGTTGCACGCGTAGACCGGCATAGCCGATGACTTCCTAGGTGATTGCGCGATAGCCTCAGGATGTGAGCTGCTTGCATTATCGTTTCCGTTACGGGCTCGTAACCTTTTCTACCGTGTTATATTCGCGCACAGGTAGCGGCCGGTTGCTCAACATTATTGATTTAACCGCTTGTTATGATCTAGATACAATCTGATCTCGGATGCGCAGTCATATCGTTCACGGTGTCGACAGGTAGGAGCTACAATCGATACATCGGGAGTGACGAAATTGATATGCTTGCGAATCAAGATAAATTGAGGTTGTAACGTTCGATTGGATTGTGTCTGTTGATTTTGAAATATAGAGTCAAATGTGTGACGTGAATATGTTGTGTGATTCAGTGATATGAAAAGTTGTAGAATGGGAGTGGTGGCATGTCAATTAAATGTCTGTTGTTTTATAAGAATGACTTTATTTATTTTTTAATACGAGATAATTGATGTTAGTTACCGCAAAGGATAACGTTATTTTATTTATTATGTCGTTGCATATCACTTGGTTGTGGATGGCATATCAGTTTAAAATTTCAGATTTTACAAAAATAACTGTATAAGTATTTTATTAATATTCTTAATATGAAATAGACGATGTTAGATGCAGCAAACAATATCATTATGTTATTGCATATCGCTTGGTTGTATGTGACATATCAGTTGAAAGTTTCAGATTTGATAAAAATAACTGTATAAGTGTTTTATTGATATTTTTAATGTGAAATAGTCGATGTTAGATGCACCAAACATTGACATTATGTTATTTATTATATTTTTGCATATCATTTCATTGTTTGTGTCATATCAATTTACTGTTTTAGGTTTGATAAAAATAACTGTGTAAATGTTTTATTAATATCGTTAGAACGAAATGATTGTTCGTGCAACATAGAGTAAATTACATCCCAATGTTGCATATCACTTGTTATTAATGGCATATCAAACTGAAACTTAATATTTTCAGCAATAACTATTTCCAGTATAAATATCTCATCAATTCTTAATATGACCAGTTATTAATTGTAACAAATAGTACAATTATATTGCATTGCATATCACTTCCTTACGAACGACATATCAATTTAAAACCCTGAAATAAGATGATATTAACTGTATATATGATCTGTCAATATTATCAACACAAAACAATTGTTTGCTAAATACAGGAATAGTAGAATTAGATTGCACTGTTGCATATCACTTCATTACATCTAATATATCCATTTAATTCTTATAGTTTAATGACAACGACTGTATATATGACCTACCAATATTACCAACACAAAACAATTGCTTGCTAAATCTAAGGAAGAGTAGATTTATAATTGCTCTGTTGCATATCACTCTGTTAGACCTGGCATATCAATTTAATTCTTACAATTTAATGACAACAACTATATGTATAAATGTTATACCAATATTCTCAATAGAAAATGACTACCCATTAATAGTTGCAAATAGTATTCTATTACTATATAATTATACACACTAGTTTATATAATTAAATCATATTGCATTGTTGCATATTATCTCATTACATACGACACAACAAAGTTTAAAGCTTAAAACTTCTTAATCTTTAAAACTAGTTTAAAACTTCCCAACTAAAAAAAAATAAAAAGTATAATCAGATGTACCATTCCTCTTAACACAAAATAACCACAATCAGTCATATAAAAAATGGCAATATAACGAGAGTCTACACTAAACTGCAAATATCCCCGTACTCATCAGCCTTTTACAGTTCACCATAACAGTCAAAGTGCGAAAGTACTCGCTTATCGTTGTAGCAATACTAAAATTAATTACAGGAAGGAAGCTCGAAATCAAGTTCGCGATCATAATCCCTGCCTGATTCAGTTTCATTCTCATTCTTGTATGCCGTGGTCAATTATCGCTTCCCTCGATGATCATGATCACACTTCTATCTCTCACGACTAATTACAGGAATAATGCAATGTTTTATTGCTCCCTTAGAAATCATTGTATACGGTAGCTTACATTATTACCGCATCCAGGAGACATGCAACTCGCGTCATCACGCACGAAATGCATTAAAGTCATTGCAAACCGGGACTCATCGTGAATAACATAGTCTTCTTTAACCCGATCTAATCTTTCCTATTCCTCTTTCCTAGCTATTACCGTTTTACTCACGCAATCGGAATCGGCAATCGTTTCCTAACCTCAATTTCGATCGAACAAATTTTCCGCTGATTTTGAAAAGTGATGTCAATGAAATTCAATCTTGAGGAACAACTTATTAATATTATTATGTAGGAATGAAATCGAAGGTTTATTTAACACCAATTCCCCAATTTCCAAATTTCCAAATTCCCCCCTTCCCAAATTCTAACATTCCCAAATTCCCAATTCCTAAATTTCCCCATTCCCAAATTCCCCCATTTCCAAATTTCCCCATTCCTAAATTCGCTCATTTCCAAATTCCCCCATTCTCAAATTCCACCATTCTCAAATTCCACCATTCTCAAATTCCCCCATTCCCAAATTCCCCAATTCCCAAATTCCCCAATTCCCAAATTCCCCCATTTCCAAATTTCCCCATTCCCAAATTCGCCCATTTCCAAATTCCCCCATTCTCAAATTCCACCATTCTCAAATTTCACCATTCTCAAATTCCCCCATTCCCAAATTCCACCATTCTCAAATTCCACCATTCTCAAATTCCCCCATTCCCAAATTCCACCATTCTCAAATGCCCCCATTCCCAAATTCCTCCATTCCCAAACTCCCCCATTCTCAAATGTCCCCATTCCCAAATTCCTTCATTCTCAAACTCCCCCATTTACAAATTCCCCCATTCTCAAATGCCCTCATTCCCAAATTCCCCCATTCCCAAATTCCTCCATTCCCAAACTCCCCCATTCTCAAATGTCCCCATTCCCAAATTCCTCCATTTCCAAACTCCCCCATTTACAAATTCTCCCATTCCCAAGTTCCCAAATTTGCAATCTCCCAATCCTTCAAGTTCACCAATTTCTAAGTTCCCAATTTCTCAAATCCCCCAATTCTCTAATCTCAAAACTTCTCTCCCCCCAAAAAATTACCTCCGCCATCTCTTTAAACTACATAACCCATCATCCCACATCACATCCTCCAGACTCACATACCTGTCAGCACACTGTATAACATTTCAACGTGCACGTACAAAGGCAAATATTACCTTCTTGTTTCTACTATTTTTTGTCGGTCGCTACAGACCGCTATAACTGTCAACGCGTTAATGATGCACATTAGCAATCATCTGATAATCATCTGATCGTGTCGCAGGTTGCTATGGCGCCGGATGCGGTTACCCTGGGGCACCTGCGCACAGTATCGTCCGCTTCACGGGACCAGGTGCTGAAGACGTCGTAGATGAAGAAGATGCCCTTCTTAAAGATACTGTGTTTCCTGTGGGAGCAGTGGCTACTTATTCCTGCGAACGGGGATTTGAGCTGCTTGGTCCTGCGAGGAGGCAGTGTCAAACTGATGGCTCGTGGACGCCGGAAGGTGTACCTTTTTGTGGTGAGTTTTAACAATTTTTTATTGATATAATTAACGCTTTGAAGGTGAAGAACTAGAAAGGTGACTCACCATTCAATTTAATACAATTTGAAATAAATACATGTTTTAAGTAAATCTATAATATTATACATTTGGTGTATAAATATGAAGAGGACAATAGTGGCAATTGATAATGGAGAAATAGTAATCTTAATTGAATTCAGATAATCTTTTAAATAAAACATTTTAAGGTTGATATGTGACAACGGTAAAAATACCTTTGAATGCTAAAGACTTAATAACATAACAAATAAATAATAAAATTATTGTATAATTTATTATAATAAATGATATAACAATATCGCTGTTAGTACAACGTTCAAATCCTTAATATTTTATATAAAGCAATATATCCATCCTCTTCGTATATCGCTATATTCCCTTGGGAAGAGTATTCGGTATTATAAGACGAGGCAAAATTTTGGACGGCGACTGACCTGATTCCCGGTGTCCTTGACCGAGGAGACCGACGACAGTAGAAGAAATATCAATCACTATGGTGGGGGAATAACACCGTTAACTCTGAACCTGTTACCTGTTAAGAACGCCCGCGGCCTTCCCAACCTGGCGCACATTCCTGACATAGGTTCAACATTTCTTACTCCATACAGATCAGATTTATTTCCCTTCTTAACATCCCAACATTTCATCACAGATGGAGAGCTAAGAGCAAATCAAGCTTCCCTGAGGAACATGTGGCAAGTACGGAGGAGGACTGCTATTTAATAGATTTATGTATTAAGAACTTTGGGAAGATGAGAATTTAGGGATTTGGGGATATGAAAGTTTGTATATTTTAAAATTTGGGAATTTGGGGTTTTAGGGATTTAGGGATTTAGGGATTTAGGGAATTGAAAGATTTGGGACTGGGGATTTGGAGATTTGGAGATTTAGAGATCGAGCAATTTGTGAGTTTATGAATTTCAAGATTTGAGGAATTTGAGGACGTGAGAACTCGAAGATTTGACAAATTTGGGGATTTGAGAATTTGGAGGTTTTAGAATTTGGACCATAGACAATTTCACGAATTGAAAATTTGAGACTACGAGAATTTTAGGTTTTGAAAGATTAGAGAAAAAATTATAAATAAGATATTTAATTAATGAAGTTAAGTTCATTTGACTAGTCAATACAAACCAATTTCCCACGCATCAAGTTCAATTTAACTTGTTCGAGTACATTAAACAATACCAAATTCATTAATTAACGACAGTATTAAGTTTGTTACAAAATAATTATACAAAACATTAAAACTAATATTCAGAAAAAGTTAAATTTCAAGAACTTCACGCTCTAATTGCTCTAAACACTGTTCATCTCTTTCTCCAATTACATTAAAGTAACGGCCGACCATTTTAATACCGCTTCATTGGTTGTTCAGGTCTGCTGATTGAAATCATTAAAGTGGTACGTTTTCTCTTCAGCTAATCGGTGCAAGAACTTAGGTATTTATTCGAACATCGGATCTAATTAATGAATTAAACTGTTTTGTGTGAACTGATCAATTTCGTGGTCACAGAAAGTATAACCTAAAAATACCAGAACACTTTCGAACGGCGGACATCTTGTTTCATAGTTCTAAATGGAACTTATTGTTAGTGAATATACAGAGTGCTACCTGTAACGCTACTCACGATTTTTCTCCCACTTGCAGCCACCTTACGAAAAAGAAGTTTAGAACAATATTTGCAAGTTGCGTTACAGGTGGAACCCTGTATTATATTTCTCGTTAACAGTAATTATATATAATTAAATATATATTATGGCTCTACAATATTTATGTAGCTCTGTAAATAATACTTATTTAGCAATAGTAAAGAGAAGTAATACTAATTTACTTATAAAAGTATTTATTCAGTAGCAGTAAATAGAAGTAGCAATAAATTTAATAGTAACTGAGTTAATACAAAATTTACGTACTTCAATATTATTTATTTCAATTTACTTATTTACTTATTATATAAAAATTAGTGATATCAACTTTCTCATTTCATTAAGGAGTCCGTATACTAATGCCTTCAGTAACTGCTACATTACACGTGTCTGATAAATTGCAATGTGTTGATCTTTAAATGACTTGCTATAAGAAATACTGATAGTCTCTAAGAAGGCGATTAATTGAAAATTTTCTTATATCTTTCCTAAATGTGTTGCCGTTATGATATTTACCATCAATTGGAGTTTTTTTAATGAAACTAAAATTCATAAATGTTTACCATAAATAGCTTGAAAATAATGAAAAATTAAATGAAACGTTTAGAACAGAAATAATATATTTCCAGTTGATAATCTGAAAATTCCTAAGTTCCAAACTATCATTTTTTAAGCGTGCAATACAATTTGAATTTAAATAACTTTGTAAAATAAAAGAACACATTTATTGTTATTGTTATTATATTATCATTTCAGACAAATTAAGAACGTATTTTTTTAAAGATTCGGTAAGCATTTTAATAGCACCATTATGTTTGACGGAAGTTTGTAACAAAGTAAACTAAAACGACAGTTATTTTAATAAATGGCGCATATGTACATAGTTCGTTTCAAATTATATTTGTTATACCAGGAAATTGTTGGTTACGGCCCCGTTTCGTAAATCAACAAGTAGTCGAATCTTAGCGCGAAATTACTCCGTTAATCTTTCAGTAGCAATTTCTCATCATTTTCTGCGAAACGGTACGTTAGATCGCCACTTACGCACTTGTGCGTGAACTTTTCGTAAACTAATTTTTTTATTCAAATTGCAGTCCAATTATTTGTATAATGATACCAAATTGCAACGACTGATACCAAATTGATATAACATCTCAACTTTCTTTATCTCTTTTAATCTAGTTAAGGTGGTTCACCTTTTATCGTATTTCAACGAAATATTTCATCTTAGATTAATATGGCAATAATTCCTAAATTTCTAATTTAATATAATACAGTACTTCATATAAATTAATAAATTAGAAATGAAATTAATTCTACATTCAATTTCTTGTACTTCCTATAGAAATTCCGATAGAGTTCCATGTCTAACTACCAAATAAAATTATGGCTATGCAAAGTTCTTCACCGTGGAATTTTTATTACAGCTTTCACTCGTTTTCTTTCAATTTTTCCAACCGTAAATATCCTAATCATCGCCTTTATAATTTTGCGCGTTATAAACGCTGTTATTGTCTATTCTTGTGCATTTTCTACTTTTACAAGTTGTTCCTTCTTAACAAGACTGTCGATATTATTAGCTCTTAGTAATTATGTAATGAATAATTTGAGACATATTTTTACTGTTGAGTACATAGTATGTTTTAATATAGTACCTTAGTAAATTAGTATTTTATAAAATAGTATATTAGTACATTAATATTTTATAAAATAGAACATCAGTAAATTAATATGTTACAATAACTCTGCACAATAAATATATAGTTATCGAGTCGTGACTAAATATTAAGTTTGGGGTCTAAAAATGTGAACTTACATAAAATGTAAATTAACAAAAATTTTTATTCGGACAAGCTATGCAGGTGATTTTACAGATACATAAATAACGCGTTACCACGACCTCAAAAGGTGTACCTTCATTGACCCCAGAACAATTGAAACATGTACGAACGGGACAAAGGATGCATTGTGTAGGGAACATTAGATAGAAGACACATCCATTATACGTCTACATACATTATACGTACATAATACAAATCATATGCTTCGAACTACCTTTGCAACCGTTAAAATTCGCCATGCAAATCGTATTGATATATCCTTAATAAATATTATTGTAATAACTGTATATTGTTGACTTTTTGAAACAATAAAAATAAGCAAACTTTCTAATTCTATAGTATTACTATTATTATGAAAAGTTATGAATTTTACGTATTTTATTATATAGATGTCGGAATATAAATTCGTAATAACAGAAAATAAATATAAATCCAGTTTTAGTTTAAAAGAATTTCTCGATTAAAATAAGCGTAATATAAATTGTTACTGCGCATGCGTCTAGCTCAGCGCGCATGCGCATAACTATTCAAAAAAATATTTCGTCTCTTTTCTGATAAATAACTTCTACAAATCTAATTAGTTTCTACCTGTTAAAAACCTTAATAATTAAAATTTATAACAAATTTTTAATACTTGAAGCAATCATTTAACTAATTTAAGCAAATATTTTACGAAATACAGTGATTTCAATGAGCGGATGGAAAACTTCGAATTCATTTCCGAATACGAAATCGAGGTAAACGCACAACTGTCAATAAAAATAATCAATTTAGCATGAAAATTGCATTTCTGTCGACTGACATCAATTAACCTATAAGATCTGCACACTTAGCAGTAATGATCTAAGAATTTCTCGGAGTGAACGGCATGAATCAACAGCGTCGATTGATAAAGATCGATAATAAGGATTAACCTTGATTCGCGCGAGCCAAAAGGGTCGATCTCGTTTCCGTTGCGTGGAGGCTTTACCGTGATCGAGGCAATGCCAGTTAGCGTCTATAAAATTCTCACGTTACGGTACAGTAAAACTACCGCAAGGCCGGTAACTTCTTTGCGAATGTGCAGCCACCATTTGCCGTGTACGAAAGTTTGCGACCGATGCGATGAGCAAGCATCTGCGTACCACTCGGCTATTCACCTGTGTAACGTAGCTCGTACTTGACCTTCTTTTTATGCAATCAACCATGAAGATTTTCTCAGACCCACGAGGTTACAGAGCTTTTTGTGTCGTGCCAGTTGTTCACCTGTCTTTACACTTTTTCTCAGGAATTTATTAATTTGTTCGTTGAGAAATTATTTTGCAAATTGGAATATTTCACAATTTTTAAGGTTTAAGGTTTTTTTAATTTGAAGGTTCACAATTGGAAATTTTCATACTTTTTTAATTTGAAAATACGGAAGTTTAATTTGTAGATAGGAATACTTTTTTATTCTTTAATTTGAACTTTGTGATTTTTGCATTTGGACATCAGACAATTTATGAACTTTTATAGTAAAGGATTTGTATGTTTGAAAATTTACAGATTTGTCAGATTGGAAATTTAACATTTTTTTCATTTGAAAAATTATGAAATTGATAGACTTTTAATTTATAAATATTCACAAATTTTTTATTTTCTGAATCTTTATATTCGTGAATTTTTTAATGTACTGATTTGATTATTTCTAAAAGAAAATTTATGAAAATTCCACTGTTTGAAAATTTGGGAATTTGAAATTATTAAATTAAGAAATTTGAAACTTAAATATTTGAAAGTTATCAAATGTAAAAATTTGTAAACTTTATTCCAAAATTAGAAAATTCAAAATTTCCACTAAACTCCAAAACTAAACCAAATTGCAAAATTAGAAAATAGAAAATTTGATTATTTGTAAATTCCTAAATAAGAAGATTAAAAATTTGAGTTTCAAAATTATCAAAGATAGAAATTTGATATATTTTTAAATTTTTGTCCCACGACCCAGTTGTTAAGGAATGTAACGTGTCTCATACTTGACCTTTTTCTATAGTTATTACAATGAAAATGGCAATGAGGTATGAATATTTTCCCAGGCTCAATGTCCTTCGATGTTGACGAACTAGTTTGCCGTGAATGATTGAAAACGTAGCAGTATCCTGCGTTCATTGATGTGGTTGCGAGTCAACATCATTATTAGTTTTATTGGTATAATCCTCCCATGGGAAATGATGTTAGTAGGGACTAGGTCACCGATAGTTAAGTCAGGGCCGTCGCTAGAGTTTACTGAAACGTGGACTAAAATTGAAATCTCAGCAAAGCAAAGATTTTGTATTTAATACATTTTCAGAGTCTTTAAAGTCACATGCTATGAAGCGTAAAAGGCAATCAGCTTCAGAGGCAAGAATTGCAATTAAAAATTGTTTTACCTGTTATGGCGTGTTCGATACAATTAGATCGCATAGAGAAGAATACAGTTCGTTAAAACTGTAATCAGTTTTTAATAATGGTTTAAGAAATATTTACTGATTGTTTACAGTAGAAAACTTTTGCTTATTTTAGGTTTATTCAATTTTTTATTTTTTTGTTATACATATATTTTCTTACTTTAGTCTAAGAATATAAATTATTATGCAGTTTTGCGCAATTTACAAAGAGAATTTTTAAGGAAAAATGCAATAATTGACTGTATTGTTGCATTTCAAGTATATAAAAATATAAATGTATATAAAAATTTCTCAGCTCTTGGTATTATTTTTCTCTCGCATGACAAAGAGGAATCTTTAAACTTTTGCTAAGTTAGCTAACAATAAAGTGAACTTATAATTTTGATTGCCAGTGTAAGTTTAAAAAATTAAGAAAAGCATTGACAATACTATTCAGTTATGTATTAACAATTAATGGATAAATGAGGACAACTCCAAACGATAATATGTCACTACAATATGTAAGTAATGTACATTATGTTTTCAATAATATAATTAAAATACAATATAATGTAACTGTATCTAAAGAAAATATCCAAAAGAAAAAATAGATTGTTTACAGATAATTTAGATAATTTTTATGCAGAAAATTAGCAAAGAATATATTAGAAAATAGGAAGAAAACAAGAGCTTCAGTGGTTTAAAGGCGTCAGCTTTCAGTTCGTGTCACCAGTTACACGATATCCTGTATAAAGACGTTTTGTACATCACGAGCACGTGTTCCAGTACCGTAATTTAGAGGGGACATTTTATAATGCAGCGCCAAGTGCAATTCACCACTAGAAATGCAACAAGACGTGCAAGAGAAGCATAACAACTTAATTCATGCTTACATTCCTTCATCTTGTGTTTTTTCTTGAATGCGATACAAAAAGCAGCGTTACATCTCATTATAGCAGTACAAGCACACAACATGGCTACACGATGTTCAAACTACAAAATGGCCGACCCGTTCTCCGGATATAAGTATTATTAAAAGTTTGTGGAGAATACTGGTAAATGGAATTTATAACAACAATAAGATTTCGTGATTCAAATGTTAGAACCATGATTAGAATTTAGCAGAAAATTGATATGAATTTTATTGAAAATCGATATAAATTTTGATGAAAATGTAAAAAATATACACATCTGAAATTTTAGTCAATTGTTTTTAGTTAAAAACAATTTTTGCTGTAATTAGTTACTTGATGTGATTGTTGCGTTTAGTACATACGAATTTAATATAAAATTATATTAAACTAATTTATTATAGAACATTCTAATGGAACAGATAATTAACCACGATGTAGCGATTAGTAAAAACAATTTTCGCTGTAATTACTTGATGTAATTACTGCAATGAATAGATATTGTCCATGTAACATACAAAATTTGATTGTGACAGTTAAAAACATTTTATTTGTATTTATCTTTCAGTTTTGAACGTCGCTGGAGGCAAAGCACCAATGCAATCGAGCAGCACAGAGGGTGGAATTCCTCAGAGGGCTGTCGATGGTAGCAATGGTCAAATTTACACTCCTCAAACTTGTACTTTGACAAGACCAGAAAATAGACCATGGTGGTACGTGAACCTGCTTGAACCATACATGGTGCAACTCGTTCGACTGGACTTTGGCAAACCATGCTGTGGTGAGTAATTTTAAACTCGATCTCCTCAACGCTTGTTTACTACGGTCTCGATTGTGACAAATAGTACAAAACATTTCGTAGTGCATTCATATTTATGATTTAATGATTACTTATACATATACAGGGATTACTGTGGGTTATATACTGGGTGTTATCTATAACTCACGATTTTTCTCCCACTTGCAGCCACTTTACGAAAAAAAGTTTAGAACAATATTTGCAGGGTATGAAGTGCACAATAGATATTAGTAAAGCAAATTTTGAAAATAGTTTGTTCTCTTGGCAAAGTCAAGGTCACCTTGGGTTTTTTAAATAGGAACATACATTTTTTTTATTCGTAGCTTTAGAGGGCATCGAGACGAATTCAAAACACATGTTACATGATATTTTTATTAATATATTACTCGATTTACAGAAGAGGAAATGTGAAGTACTTAGCTTTTGGTAGTGTAACCATTATTTGATTCCGAAGAAATTACTGAATGCAAACACGCGACTAGAATGTAAGAAAGATACACTTTGTTTAATTACATGTTCAAAATGTATGCCACCTTCCATCACGTAATATTCCGGTCTTTTACTTCGCATTTCCTTAAAATTGAATAATAACTATAATACTAAAGTTTTGAAAGTACTTGTGAAAAAGAAAGGTATGAAAATATACATCCATATTCATAGAATTTCATAGTCCTGTGTAAAAGTGCAGGAGAACTTTACATAGTATAAATGAATGTCTTCCTTTCAAAAGAAAAGGAATGTAATATTGGTTTCTTAGTGAATGACAACAGAACTCTCAATAATTTTATTTTACGCAATTTGCTAACTGATTGAATACTTCCTGTCAGAGAAATGTTATTATTACCGTAACCGTCTGTAATGACACTTTATCGATAGAAAGTTGAAATATCCTGTCTTTTATTGAAATGAAAGTAAAAGTTTGATGTTTCATCGTATTGTTAAATGTAGGAAGACATTCCTTTGTTTTTAAAATAAAAAATCAGATAACAACTATAACATTCTGAAATTAAAAAAAGGTAATTCAACGTACATATATAGTAAACATTATTTATTTAAAAAAATAAAAATATATATTTCTAAAACATAGTTCATTAAAAATGTGTATGTATTTATTTATAAATTGCAATGAAAATATTTTAGAATTAAATAAATATATATATAATTATTTCTAAATAACAAAAACATATAATATATAATAAAATTTTATGTTCAGATTTATTATTATAAATAAAGTAAAATGCATATAAAATATTCGGTACAAAAATATTACTTGTGTTTAAAAATTGACAATATAAAAATATATGATCCTTTAATAACTTAAAAATTAATAGTTAATAATTTAAAAATTAATAATTTGAAAAAATACAATGTCAATACTGAAAAATTTAATTCAATAAAACAAAGAATTTTTCCTTGTAATTCTTTTAAAAGAAGAATCTAAATTTTTAACGAATATATTAAATATACATTAAAAAGTCAATAACTTATTGTAAAAATAAATTTCAAAGCTGTATTATTCTCCTTACTAAATAAGCACATTTCCTTAAATAATTGTTAATAAATAATTAAATCTTCCATACAATAAAAATTGAACAAAACCTAAATAATGTATCAAAAAGTTTAACCACGTAATTTACGACGGAAAAGCAGTACTTTCCAGGATACTTTAGAAGTGTGTTAACGTGATCGATGTTAGCGACCGAAACGTAAAACAATGTGGTGTTTCTTAAATGTGCCGTAAAATTCGATCGTAAATTTGTGCACCGTTTTCTTGCTTCATCATAGGTTACAAGTATTGTTCGCACGCTAAATGTTTTAGAAACTTTCTAGGATGAAAGTGAGAGTCTTTTCACTTTTGATCGCTAGAAAACGATGCTGTTCTTTCGTCTGTGCTCAGCATATGATATTAACATCGATCTTGGTAGAAAGAAGATATACATTAACCATTTTCTAACTCTTTCGTGCATAATACATGAACATAGAAAACATAGAAATATAAATATATTTATAATATATAGATTATAGAAATGTATTTATAGTAAGGGATTTTTTATCGTAAATATTTTTGTGACGAATTGATTTCATTTCAAATTTCGCGCCCTTTTTGCTACATTGAGAGTTTGTAGCAGAAGTTAATTCTTTATTAAACATTTGTAGCTACAGATAGTGTTTTCTGAGTACATTAATACTAATTTTGAAAAAGAGGTGATTATAGTAGCTTTACTTAACTTTATTTAAATTTAATTTCATGTAATTTGATACCTAGACGCGAACATTATTATTTTCTTTGTAATAAATTATTTTTCATTGTAAACTCTTTCGAATTGTTCAAATTTCGCGCGCTTTTAATCAGTCGTTGGTAGCAAGGATGTTGTTTCTCCGTTAAATAGAATTTATACTTGTTATTGATACTTTGCACGAATATCGCTATTAATTTTACTCATTTTACTTTCTTTCGTCTTTTTATAGCAAAATTGTCTACTAATTTTCAACATTGTATCTACTATATAAAAATAGTTATTTTTTTCTATTGCATAACGAATAGTCACAAAGAAATTGTGATACTTTTACAAATTACGGTAAATTGCCATGAAATTAAGGAAGCAATTCAATATTCCAAGGACTTGTTGAAGTATAAATCAGCGAATAATTACAGTTGAACATTTCAGCTTAGATAAGTGATCAAACAAAGAAAATCTTCCATCTTTAGATAAAATCTCTGATAATAACTTTAAACACGCACTTTTCACGGAAATAGAAAAGTGAGAGTACTTATCTTGTTATTCATGGAAGGAATTCGCTAATCTCTTCCTTAAAAAGTAATTTTCATTCTTTCACCGACCAACTGTCCGTACATTAGAAACTTTATTTCTTTATATAAAATATCAATATTCTGTTAACAACAAGGAAACGTACTGTACTATAAAAATTGTGAACTATTTTTCATAGTTTAAGTTTATAGAATTAAAAACTTGAAAATTTTGTGTTTCTACGTTTTTAATTTCTCAGTTAGAAAATTCTATATTCTCAAATTTTTAATTTCTAAAATTGAAAATATGTAAATCTGTAAATTTGGAGATACTGAAAATTTCATACAAACAATTTTCACACGAACGAAGATTACACGAGATTACATTTTCCTTATGATGGGAATTTGAGCACGAAAAATTTGCATACTAATCTGACAAAGGAACAATTCTCTATAGATTAGTATAAACACATGATTATAATCTCCGCCAACTAAGATACAACATACATTAGCTGCAATTAAAATACTTGAACTTAAAAATAACACGAGTCGTCGTAAATAGAAGCAACTTTCACATTGCAACTTTTGGTACGATAAGAAACGAAGAACGTTTTAATTACAGAACAGACTGGTTATCGTTTATTACTACTCGAAGTTCCGGTAACACGATGTTATCGTTCTAATAATAAAAAACAAACGGTGGTGAAGTTACTGTAAAACTACTGACTTTTGTAATAAACTTGGAAGAACTATATTCATGCTAGAATATGAATGAAGATTAATATTCAAACTTTTGGTGTAATTTAATAATTTTTACTACAATTTAATACGATTTCCTTACTACAATTTCCTCTTCTGCAAATCGAGTAATATGTTAATAAAAATATCATGTAATATGTGTTTTGAATTCGTCTCGATGTCCCCTAAAGCTATGAATAAAAAAAATGTATGTTCCTATTTAAAAAACCCAAGGTGACCTTGACTTTGTCAAGAGAACAAACTGTTTTCAAAATTTGCTTTACTAATATCTATTGTGCACTTCATACCCTGCAAATATTGTTCTAAACTATTGTTCTAAATCAATTTTATGAAGCATTCAAAAACTATTACAAGAAATAGAATCAGAAAAAGGACGTCTAACATTTCAATGTTAATACAATATAAGTATTCGTAATAGATACAGTCAACTCATGATCAAAGTTAAGTTACATAGTTTCGAAACGAAGTTCCTAACACTCCAGACGGTTCGAGAAATTTCTCCGCTCAGGTTATGTTCCTTTTTTAATGCAAACAAGAAATCGTTGGCATTTCAAATGCGATTACAAGGGACAAAACGTGGAAAGCATGTAATTGGAGTTCATGACTACAGATGCAGCGATGGTCGCCGTTCGTTCGGTCACACCTGAAATGTTTTCCAGGTCGGAAGATGTAGTACCGAGTACCGGATTATCTCAGATGATTTTATCTCTTCAAATGCTACCTTTGCAATCGCTGGTCGAGCAACCATAACTATTTAAGCCCCCCAGTGAAAGCGTGTTCGATTTCAAATTTAATTTCCTATTGTCAATGTCTTATGTTATCTTCCCAATCCTGTGACATCCTCTCTAAAATTATGTTCAAACCTCTAAAACATGGAGTTACAGTCTGCCATTTTATTTAATACTTATCAATTTTCAGTTACTATATTTTTCTTCTTGTAACTAATACTTCCTCATTGACTTGAATCAAAATATCTTTGATGAAATTCTTTTTCAATTTTTGTAATTTTCAGGTAATGTTTCTGAACTAATACTTGATCATAAACTAACCTCTAAAATTTTCGTTCCTTCTCAAGGTTTGATTAAACCATTCCAAATAGTCTGAATAATTGTCCATTCTGAATAATATATAAAAGGAACACGTCAATTTGATCTAAAACGTGAGACAATTAAAAGAAGAATGCGCGTGAAGAAACGAATTATAGTTTGCTATTATATCATGGATACCTCAGCCCATGTTTTGTACAGAGAAATGATGTTACGTGTTTTCTTTTTTTTGCAGGCGATGGTGTATCTGGAACGATTGTGGTTCGTGTCGGCAACAATAGGCCAGACTTGGGAACGAATCCAATTTGCAATCGTTTCACTGGACCCCTTGAAGAAGGTCAACCTCTTTTCTTGCCGTGCAATCCACCCATGCCTGGAGCATTTGTTTCCGTACATTTGGAAGCAAACACACCGACACCGATTCCAGTGCAACTTTCATTATGCGAGGCGTTTGTGTACACTGATCAGGTACCGACTTTATTTCTTCATCGTGTTACTCAACTTTGTACGGCATATCACTAGTAATCGGCTTTTATCTCGTTAATGATGAACGTCTTAAAAAAATGAAAGAGAAAAAAGTTTTACTGTTTTTTATTGCCGATATAATAGCGTGTGTACTTTTTTCATGTTTGCAATACTTTTTGAAGAACTAAAATGACCCACAGTTTTTTATGAATCTCAGCAAACATCTCTAATACCTTTTAACAAATATCTTCCATATTTTTAATGCATTTTCTAATCAAGTATTTGTCGCTTTCAGAATATGTCTTATTCAATGTTTTAAATTATTACGAATTAATTTGCATCAGGCACTTCCCATCGAGAGGTGTCCACAATTCAGAGACCAACCTCCAGGTTCCACAGCCACGTACAACGGAAAATGTTACATATTTTACAACCGACAACCGATGATATTCAGAGAAGCTCTGGCGTTCTGTCGTGCCCGAGGTGGTACGTTGGTAGACGAGAGTAACCCAGCGCTGCAAGGATTTATTTCCTGGGAACTTTGGAGGCGACACAGGTATTCCACTCCTTCCAGTTAATTGTCATCATTTAAATATTTTTAAATGCATTCGTATTCTCGTTTGAAGGAGCGACACTTCGAGCCAGTACTGGATGGGCGCAGTGAGGGATCAAAAGGATCGCACGGTTTGGAGATGGACAGGAAGTGGTGAAGAGGTTTCCGTTTCATTCTGGAGTCTGCCTCAGGGCACCGAAGAAGACTGTGCTCGATACGATGGCAGCAGAGGTTGGCTCTGGTCCGATACCCCTTGTACGGCTCGATTGAATTTCATCTGCCAACACCGTGAGTATCGACTTTCAAATATTATTGTACTTCCGCGCTTGTTTTTCTCATCGTTATTATCCCATGAGTTGTTACAATACTTTGAGACCTTCCTGTACGTCTGTAAAAATAGAGCTAGGCAAATATGTATATGGCGTGGTCGTAAAGCCATCTGAAAGTCTATAAAAATATAAATTGATGGAATTTACAACCACACTGTATCTTGACTATTAACTAACTGTAGTTGTACTAAAATGTAGCATAATTACTATATATAGCAAGGTCGTAAAACTACAGAGAACTTTTCATATTTTAGAACCTCGAGCATGCGGAAGACCAGAGCAGCCTCCGAATTCGACGATGACCGTAATTTCAACGGCAGATCGAAATTCCGGAGGTGCATACGAGGTTGGAGCTACGGTAGAGTATACCTGCAACGCTGGTAGCCTCCTTATAGGTCCATCCACTCGTACCTGTCTGGATACTGGTTTCTACAACGAATTTCCACCAGTTTGCAAAAGTGAGAACCATTTTGAAACCATCTTCGTTATTCAAATTTGCTTAATTACGAATCTGTTATAATAAATTCGATCTTTTCATTCAGGTATCGAATGTGGTTACCCAGCCAGTATAAAACATGGAGGTTACACACTTATCAACAATACCGTTAGTTATTTGAGCCAGGTGCTTTATTCCTGCGAGGAAGGATATGAGATGACTGGTAAGAATGTATTACAGTGTTCAGTTTTTATAGATATGAATTATTTCAACAAAATATTTTATTCTGAAGGACGTGCAAGATTAACCTGCGACATTGATGAACGTTGGAACGGACCTCCACCGAGGTGTGAACCAGTCTTGTGTGACCCCCCAACACCTGTTCCACATAGTTACATCCAAATAGACGAAATTGATGAAACTGAAACGATGCCGGCGAAGGCCAGCGTCAATCGAAGTCTTCTTGTGGGTAGCATCGTTACTTACACCTGCGAGAAGGGCTATAAGTTGACTGGATTCAGGCAGATACTGTGTTTACCCTCTGGGTCATATGATCATGCTGCGCCTACTTGTACAGGTAATTCAAATTGGTGAAGTTTGGGTTTTCAAAGATTTAAAAATCTTAGCATATTCTGTCCTGAAGAATTAGCGCAAGTCGGGACTTCTATGAAATGTGTCTTAAAATTAGAATTGAAGCAGGAATTTCAGACTAATCAGTTTACTATTATATTACAGAAGAACCCCGTAGCCCACCTACTGTGTCTACCCGAATAACAGTCCGACCTACCACTGCCAGGCCACGTCACACCTTCTTGCCACCAAGAGTTCGCACAACGGTCGTTTCAACAACGTCTACAAGCACGACCACCTCGGTACCGCCTCAAAAGGTTGCGAACACTGCCGAATTGCCGGCAACGGTCAAAGAAACCATCGCCAGAAAACCAAGCATTGGATTACAAAGGCCTACTCCTCCATCCACTGGCTTAAACGATGGTGGTAGTGACCATCCTCAGGATAATGAAATCTCCGGCAGTGGGGTCGACAATGCACAGGCTGGTCTGGGAACAGGTGTTCCAGAACCATCTGGACCATTCAGAGTGGATAGTGCAGATCAACCGAGTAACACGCATCAAGCGAAATTAAATCTGGGTGCTGTGATCGCCCTGGGCGTCTTCGGTGGTTTTGTATTCCTTGCCGCTGTTATTACGACCGTCGTAATACTCATACGCAGGTAAAGACAAATCATTAAAATTATTGGAGAATTGAAAGGCAATGGTGTCTGTCTTTCTTAAGTTTCTGTGATTATACAGTAAATATTGTTCTAGGAATAGTGCTTGTTCTTATACATGAAAGGATCTAAGTCTACATACAGGGCTTCCTCCTTTTTGTACTCATTTTTCTCATGTAGGCTATGTGTTATTAATTGGTAAGTGTGGCGTTTCTCTGGAATGCGACATAGGTTCCTCTTAGGTAAAGGTAAGAGTGAGATCCTTTCACCACTTGCCTTTTAAGAATATCTAGAGGGAGCCAGAGAGAACCTCTAAAATTTTCTGTCTTTGAACATAAAAACAAATTGAAAGCAGTTGGTGAAATACTTATTCTTCCACATCTTTTAATTAAAGGAAGCCTAAATTGCAAATCCAGAACTCTAAGATCCTGATTATACTTATCAACAAGTAATAACATAACCTACATGACTGAAATATGGAGTAAATAGGATATAATATGTATAAATAAACCTTAAGTGTTCAAGGATCTGTGGTTTTTCCCAGATGCGACTTTTATTATAAATTGTATTGTTTGCAACTTCTGTAACAGGCATTATTTTGTGGACAGACTATACATAATTAGCTTTATACATAATACAGTACATTTGCTCCTTGACCCACGTGTGTATACTGTATCGCTTACTTTATACTGGTTCAAACTGTTTCTCTATTCTTTCGTCCGTCTTCTTGTCTTTATTTTCTGACTACTGGCGCGATTTTCTCTCTTTGAATACTGTAATCTACTTCTTTCGAGTGTTGTAAGTAGTATAACAAAAAAATATTACATTGAATAGTTCTTATAAAGAAAAATGTATAGTTAATATTCTTTACTTAAATTGTATTCATTGATGCTCAATTCATAAATGATATTAAAATATTTTATCTTGTTACAATATGATGTAAAACCTGGTTTTACTTAAAAAAAAAAAGAAAAAGAAAAAAAATACAAAATTATGAAAGTGAAGATGTTTTTTACAGAATTTCCATCCATTTTAAAGATCAATGTTTTAAAATACAAAACTTCTTTTAAAGGAATCTTGTTAAGGAATAAACCTACAAAATACTTATATGATAAAAATGGTGGGCCTCTGTAATTTATCTATTTAAAATAACTTTCTTTTATTATTAAAACATCAACTTAATTGAACTTGATTTACTGCATAGCAATTTTCTATCAAAGTATGAAACAGAGTTTACCATTGAATTTTTCCATTATGAACAAGTAAAATATTAACTCTTTCATCAATACATAATCGAAGTTGACCTAATTATTTAACAGAAAATAATTTTAATAAGCAATAACATGCTACTGGTCACAATGAAGACATTAAAAATATAATTTTACTTGGTTAACTTTAACTAATCTTTTCATTGCTACCAAAAACTATTCTACATTTAATTATTTTCAATTTCCAAAATTAAATCTTTAATTTAAAATAAAGCATGGAGCTATATTTATAATCTAAAAAGGCAGTGGAACTATTTTCAAAAATTCTGCAACAAAAGGGTTGAAGGCATTGGTGTAACTAGGCATCCAGACCAAAGTTAGGTATATTTCAAACAACTGTTGAATATAACTATTGAAATCATGTCTACATACAATAGCATTTGAAGGTTTATTTTTCTTGATACATACAGATACATTGAAATACTTATTTTGATATACAGTAACTGGAATTATTTCTGCACGCTTGTTTGAGCATAACTGTAAAATTAAATTGAAAATATAAGCTATGAAGCATTAGGCTACAGAAATAGCTTCTGAGAAGTTGCTAGCCTATTTCTGCTGATTTTATTTTGCGACACATAAACAAATAAAACAGACACAATATCATGAATATTCAAGTATTTCACTGCACGTACAGTGAAAGAAATTCTTATTTCAATTAACCATTTCATATACGTAGAGACAAAATATATAATTATATAACTGTAAATCAAATAAATATTTCAAATACTACTTCAATTAATATAAAAATGTATTGTTATTTCAAATTAACTAACTTAGCAAATGGATAGAGATTTACCTGGATTTAGTCCAGGCATACTATGGTCTCTGCCTAGATATGCCAATGGTTGAAGGTACAAGATGTATGAAAGTGAACAAAATAAAAACGTATCAAGAGAAAAGACAATTGATCAAAGAAGATTGGAATGAGAATTAACACTGAGCCCGTTTGCGTTGCGGTGGCTAGCGGCAGTGGCAGCGTCAGAGGACGGCGCCGCAGGGGGCTTGGTGGGGTTGGTGCGTTGAGGGGTGGCGGTAGTGGTGGCCTTGGAAGAGGTGAAACCGGGATGCCCTCGCGTTGGTATACGCTACTGGCGCTGCCCTTCCCCGACCAGCACCTGGGGCGTCGCGATTTGACAGCTCGCCGTGGCACCGATCACCCTTATTCCTTTGGTCTCTCAGCGGCCCATCGGGCTGGATATTTCTCCAATCCTTCTCTCTAGTTACTAGCAGACAATACCTCCTATATATAGCCCACCACCATCGCCCTCACCCTCCACGCAACCATCGCCCACCACTACATCAATCATCACCACGTACCACCACAACCGCCATGCGCCACCCTCGCGAGTGATTACTAGTCAAGGTAAACGAGCAACGTTTATAATGTGCACACATAGCGATAGCTCGTTCACCAGCTTTAAAATTTTTGTAAAGCTTCACTTGAACGCACTTGAATCATGCACTTCCTTTAGTTTTAGTAGACTGGTTCCTACACCCATGTGTATAGAATGATGCACCATTCTGCTTTTTAGGAGGATGGAAATTTCAAGTGAAGTTCAATGTCCTATAATCTTCCGGTTTAGTAGTTTTTACACGCTGCATACAAGATTAGGAAGATTAATAAAGCACTCAAATAAGGTTTAGCTTATAAGTATATAAATATAAAAATATGGAAGGAACATGGTAAAATACACTTTGCTGGAATGTAGCAATAATAATACTGTACTTAAAATGCACTTAAATGACTATGGAACAATAGTTTTGAATATGTCATCACTTGTACTTTTTAATCGCTTGTCATGAAGCTTAATTTAATCTCAATGTTTTGTATTCCACAGAATTTTGGGAAAGATATACATATTTGTATATGTATGTTACACCATGTGAAATTTAATGTGTTATACTGCTTTGCATATTTTATTGTTAGTACCAATTATGGTAATGGAACAGAATTAAGAAACTCTTAGGATAAGCCAAGTTGACACTCGAAGTGCAAAAGTTATATATATTTGATAGATCATTATATTAATCTAAAGTTTCAATTCTAGATTTAATTATAACTCCCCTGCTTTTACATTGCACTATTTGGATTGATCACATTTAAAAATTATACTGACATGATTAAATCATAAATGAGCAGAAATATGTTAATTATATTTCTGAGAATATAATTAAAAATTATTATTACTATTCTTAGCTAATTAAATTTTATATCTATAAAAAGTTGTGATATTATCACACATCTACTATTCTATCTATGTTTTCTGCTTTTCTTATTTTCAGAATGGTGAAGGACCAAATTTATGCTAAAACCTGCTTCAAATTCTGCTTATGTATTTTCCAAATGACACATGCATTACTCAACACTTAACAATCGATTTGGCTTTAAATTAAGTACTACGATTCGATTATATTTGATATATTCCTGATTTACATGAGAACAACTTTTAACACAGTCAAATTTTGAAAATTCATTAAACTATAATTATTGTATAAAATTGATTAGTAAATGTACTATGTTATAGTTTATCCAAACAATAAAAAGCCAGATCGATAATGCCATAAAACACTGCTTACTATAATTTTCTTCTTTGAAAGAAAAATATGTTACAATTGCAGGCTAGAAGTAGCAGAATAATGCAATCAGAAAGTTTATGTACCCCAAAAGTTGCAGATTTTATAGGGTAAAATATATGGTATTTTGCAATCTACAGTTTAACTCTTAAAATGCATAAAATAGGGGAAATCCAATCCTAAACCATATAGTATGCTCTTCATTCCAATGTTGTTACAATAGTAAGAATTCAACTATCTTTCCTTTCTTGTTCAAGGAATAAATGCTGATAGGGATGTTTCATAATTAAAGATTCACAAAATGAGGTTGATATGAATAATCTCTTACTATATATACAATAGTATTTTCTATATTTTCTGAGTGATCCATTATGCACTCTTTAAAATTCAAATATAATATTCTGGAAGTCAAATATCCAAATTGTAATTGTTTATGTCTATAAGATAAAACTACAGATTGCAAAATGACAAAAAATTTTTCAATTAGTTTTAAAATCTGCAGTTTTTGGCATATCACTTCAAGTGTCCTATACTAAGAAATTTGTTCAACTTCGTACAGAAATCATGGTAGAAGCAGCAAACACTATCGACATCGTGCATCCCCTGATTGCAACACTGTGGCTAGTTTTGGAAGCAGTTCCTTGGAGAGTAGAGGAGGTCTGAATCGTTACTACCGTCAAGCTTGGGAAAATCTTCACGAGACAGCTGGGCACAAAAACAATCATCCTCCTCTTCGTCGCAAGGAAACCCTGGATGAACCAGGATACCGAGAGAATTACCGTGGTAACAACACCGAAAGGGATGGTTCTGAATTAGTCGTTAGCGACGTAGCTACTTTCTCATCGAACAAGCACGCCAGCATTTCTGACAAGAAACGCCATCACCATCACCACCATCATCATCACGGTAACTCGACACCAGAATGGAGACAGTCCCAGTCTCATCACAGATACTGAACACCAAATGCGTTAGATAGGATCCTTCGTACTCGAGGTTTACAGTGAATCGTTATTGGATCACGAATAAACTTCCATCACATTCTACGGCAATGCTTTACATCGGAGGAGCTCCTCACTTGTTCTCTTCCCGCCACGTTCCGTGGCTGCGTAACAGAGAAACAAACGAAAGGAGTTCGATAAAATAGATGCGATGACTTCATTTTCGTAGCATTTGTTTAGATTGATCGTTCAAATACAGCCACATGCAACTTTGGCTTCCTTCAGTTAAGGGAAATGTAGGTTCTTTCTACTCCAGATATAAGTAAGTGAATTACAAGTTGCTGTTTCATATATACTAGGTAGAACTTAAGTATAGCAACTTAAGTCTAAATTTTAAAATTAAAAATTTAGAAATTTAAGGATTTGGGGACTTAGAAATTTAGGAACTTTTGAAATTTTAAGTTTCTAATATGAAGTATACGAGATATGTTATAGCAGTGTAAGAAGAGACAAATGTGGCTTACAAATCACCACTTGGTTTATGTCTATGTAAGTTCTCCGTATCAAGATTCTTCCAAGACCAAAAGCAACTGGTATAAACCTTTGCCTCCTACATTTCTGCTTATCCAAAAGAAGCCTATGTTGCACCAAAGTGAATTAAACATTGCGTAGTGTGATCAAATAGATAAAAGATAGATCATTCTCCATTTATTGTTCTGATATACAGTAGATTATTTACATCTACGTTATTACGTAATGTAAATAGCGTATATTGCAATAGTATAAGTAAGAGAATGAAGTTGTGAATGTAGGAGGATCACAAGTTGATCGAAGGACATGCCAAAAAATGAGAGAGTAATATATATACGTATATACATATATCTATATATAATTACTGATCAAACGGTTTCTAATATTTTTTTTAAGTTATTATAGAAACGTTTGATTATAATAATGTTCTCAGCGTACAATGTTCACAGAAATCACATATTCGATAAGACTAAAATCTGTTATGGGCACCTTGGCCTCACCTTATAAGGATATTGATGAAATTCCTCGTAATGATATGATATTCGAAGAAGGTACTATTAAGGATAGGCCGATGTTATCCATTTCAGAATCAAAATTAATTTAGTTATGATGTCAAACTAAGATAATTAAAGTCTGTCTCTACAGGTTTTAGTACATTAATGAAATATTTATATATATTTAGTATTATATTATCCACCTAAATATTTCATTCCAAATTCGTCAGAAATAAAATATAATTAGTAAATAACGTGTATTTATTTGTTGACTGAATTAAGAAATTCATAACAAGTTTATATATGTACTTATTTAATGTCTCAGTAATTACAATAAATTGTAATAGTGCCATTATGGGCAAATTTTCATGTATTTGCATATACATTCTCATTGTTCGTGGCATATGCTGAATGACAAATACTAGTAATATTTTTAATAGAAGTACTTTTAATAACTCGTTAATTACATATATCATTAGTTTTAGTCTTGACAATGCACAAACTATTTGAAATAAAAATATTTATGCAATGTAATTGTTTCATAATAATTCATTAAAAAAAGTTCAAAAAATGATTTTCGTAACATATTTCAGTAAGAAAAAAAAAAACAGATCTTTTTTTCATGAAGCAGTCTAATATGTTATATAAAAAATTAAAAATATCACATTTACCCTTGAAGCCACTGGCTGATTAAATGTCCAATTTTGGCTCTGGCAACTTTCAACTCAGGTACATCACTTTTTGATGGAGGATACATATTAGCACAGTGAGCAGTACCTATGAACCAAATTATTAAATGGACTTAATATACGACAGAAGGAATATATCAAATTTAAAATTATTAATATTTATATACCATTAATATAGATAGCAGGTGCTTGAGGATTTGATGATTTCGTAATTCCTAATACATGCCAAGGATCAACTGAACCATGTACAAATACCACATTTGTAACTTTCAAGTTCAATGCACCATAAAAAATATTTGTACGATTGACTGCTGATTTCAGCAACTGGATATTATATCTATTAAAATACAAAATTTAATCATATCATAAGAGTAATTAAGAGCTCAATTAAACAATAGCACAATTAAGTTACCGTGGTCCGAAAATATCAAGACATTGTTGAACAAAGAAATCTACTGGAAAACTGTTACTGAATAAATTTGGCCGTGCAGTAGAAGTTTGGAAAAATCCAAATTCTGTACATGTTTGATACATCCACTGACGTCCTACAAAAGAAAATTTAGTAAGTCAAAAATAAAACATCTTAATAATACTACTGCAATGTGTTACCTCCTTCTGCATCTTCACTAGCCCAAGATATATTTCGAAGTTCATTAATCATTTTATTATACACATAGTCTAAACATTTCTTGTTTGTAGCATTCAATATTTTATTACTTATGAGTGCAAGTCTATCAATAGCAAGACCTAATGATTCATTTGTTAAAATATCACATGCACTTTTGATGGTGAAGTTAGCCATGGCAGAATTATTACGGTTGTTTTTATTGTATTGTACAATACCAGCAAAGTCACTTGCTATAGTTTCATACAAATTTGCAATATCTTTGGTCTTAGTATAACCAGGATCAATGGGATTACATAAGCTGCAAGTAACAAAAACATTTTAAAATAATATTGTAAATGCACTTAGGAAATAAATGTTCAACTCACATAAATTTCTTAGCTAGTCCTTGCTGACCAATACGATGACGTAACATTATATGAAACTGTGTATTTGCTTCTACTATTGCATTTACACATGCCTCAGAATATTCTTTGAGGGCATTTTCAACAACGACATAGTATTCTATAAAAAAGTTGTTAATATTAGTAACTTTTAAGTATAACATTTCTGTGCTTACCTTGAAAATCGATTTGTGCTAACAATGGCCCACTTGCAGATACAGCACCATGTACTAAATGGGGATATTTCTCCCGTAACCATGCAGCTAATGATCCAGCGTATGACCCTCCAAATGCAATCCATTTAGTATTATTTGGTAATTTATACATTGTGTTCACGGTTTGCACAAAGTAGGCTAAATCTGCAAGTGCTTGTTCCGAAGAAAGATACATCAAGTTCTTAACACTAAGATCTCTGTATAAATATTACAAACATGGTATCAGTAACAGATTTAAAATTGATGACAATGATTAATTTCAAGATTATTGCATACGAGGTAGGATGACTTTTTCCATAAAAGCGATGTTCTACTTGGAAACATAATGCTCCAAATTCTTTGGCATATTCGATCCATTGACCTTCCACCATCCATTTAGCATTGGCAGCACCTTCACCGCCTATCATTAAAAACACTGGACCTCCTACTTTATAATAATCCCCATTTACAAAGTATCTCTGTAAAAAATTAATTAATAGTATTGCTATTAATGGTAGAATCTCTCTGATTATAATATTATTACTATATAAAAATAGGTAGAGAAGGAATGTTCAAATAAAGAATATAGTAATAACTAGCAAAATGAACAGGCATCAGCATTGTGTTAGTTTTAATTTTAAATACATTTTTAAATTACCTGTTGCCAAACATGTGCATCAGTTGGATTAAAATGATCCAAAAATTGTGGAAACCATTGTTCTTTTGGAAGCTCATACTCTTTAGACAAAATAGGTTCACCTAAATTGCCATGCCTGCTTCGGCCTCTCATAAAATTTTGCCATGATATACTAATATTTATTAAACTAATGAAAAGCAACAATAACATGAGCTTCTTCATATTGCAATATGTTTAACTTACTAAAGAATATATTCTGAAAAAGAAATAAAAGTAATCTTTATACACACATATAAAGTTATTATTAAAATTATTAATAATATCTTTACTGTTTTCTGACTTTAAAAATACGTAAATTAAAAAATTTTCTGAATTTATCAATTACGCGTATTGATAAAAGTATTTGTAACGTAGTTTTCCAGAAACAAAATTATCTTTTAGAAACGATAAGATTATAAACGGCTGTAATAGTAATACATAATTAAAAACAATACGTTGTTCAATACGTTATAACTTTTATGTTAACACCTTGCAAAAAATCATGAATAAATTGTAACAAAAAAATTATTTATACGTTACAAATACGTTGTAATTTATATTTTAACAGTATATTTACTGATGCACACTTATATGTATTAATTAAAAATTGAATAAAATATCGATTTACATTACGATATAGTATCAATAACAGTGGATATCTGGAAGCATGGTACAAAATGAAAACAAGATGTTTTACCGTTGTTATATTTATAAATACGTATTACAAATGCAAATCTCGCTTCCTTAGGGAAAATGGCAGTCAAGAGTAACAGGTCTCTAGGACCGCAAAAACATCTGTGCATTGGCACACATTATACCTAATTTATATATAGTATGTGCATACACATACGCATCATTTATTATACGCGAAATCATTTTCACTACATCGTCAATAACATAGGGAATGATATGAAAATCGTAAACAATTCTTTCCGATTCGCCAAAAATTGGTCCCACAGATGTTTCCTTTATTAAAAAGGAGCTTAACTGCAAAATTTAACGTGATTTAAACCATGACGGTTTTGTGAAGAAAAGTCAAATTGAGATTGGTTTGGTAAAGTCAAAACATTCCGAAATAATTGATCTTGCAGTTCAATATAATTTGGTGAATATTATAGTAAATTAAAGCAATAAAATCAATAATAATTAAATTTTTAAAGAAAAGGAACAAGTGGAGTCATCTCCCCGGCGAACAGGATGAACTACGGATTTTTGAAACTGCAGTTCCATTAGTTTCCCACATCCACAGCTAGATGGTGACACATCAGACTGAAAAGTGATGTAAATCAACGTTATCGGTCAAGAAGAGTTTTGTTATCGAAGCCCTCGATCATGAAGAAATCCATTTTTACTTCTTAACAAATGATTGTTACTGCATGCAAATGAAATAGATGCACTGTATGAAAAGTAATGAAAATAAAGAAAAATTTATCAACAATCATTGTGTATTTATTGTTACCTAACAAACCAAACAAAATAAAAATTTACAAATTCGAAAGAGAGATTTTGCATCAAGAGAACAAGAGAATTCCAGGAATTTGACGCTACCAAAATTCCGCCACGAAGCATTATACATACCTCTTCATAACTCATGTTCTCCTGATACAAATTTTCAAAATTCGCCGGTGGAATTTCAAAAATCGTGCCTCGCGAATTCTTGGAATCATGAAAATTCCAAGTCATGAAAATTCCAAGAAGTGGCACGAAAGATACCTCCTCCCAACTTATGTTCTCCTGATACAAATTCTCAAAATTGGTCGGTGGAATTTAAAAAATACCGCCCGGGAATTCTTGGAATTTGACGTCACCAAAATTCCAGGAAGTGGCACGAGGGATACCTCCTCGCAACTTATGTTCTCCTGATACAAATTCTCAACATTGGTCGGTGGAATTTCAAAAATCCCGCTCGGGAATTCTTGGAATTTGACGTCACCAAAATTCCAGGAAGTGGCACGAGGGATACCTCCTCGCAACTTATGTTCTCCTGATACAAATTCTCAAAATTGGTCGGTGGAATTTCAAAAAACCCCCCCGGGAATTCTTGGAATTTGACGTCACCAAAATTCCAGGAAGTGGCACGAGGGATACCTCCTCGCAACTTATGTTCTCTTGATACAAATTCTCAAAATTGGACTGTGGAATTTCAAAAATCCCGGCCGGGAATTCTTGGAAATGACGTTATGAAAATTCCATGAAGCAGAAAGAGTACCTCCTCATAATGCATGTTCTCTTGGTACAAATGCTCAATACTTTGTTTTTTATTTTTTATTTTTTATAATATGGGGTCATTTCTGGAAATCGGAATGACGGGATTTATGTGTAAGTAAATATGCAAATACATGTTTTTATTCATATTTATTTTCAAACAATTGTGTACATCAAATGACTTAATACATTTTATTAATAGATAGATACGTTATTAACACATAATTCTAGGACGGAATTATTATAATAATATGTACATATTAGTGTCCGATGTAGTACAGGATTTTGTAGAAAGCTAATAAAAATCTGTTGAGAGAATAAAGATGTAGCAATCAATTTGCTTCTAAAAAGTTGCAGAGAACTGTAAGTTATTGAACGTGCGAGCCGTTGGCGAGCGACAAGGAGAGTAAAAAAATGAATATTTCGGCACTTTGGCTACGTAGTATGGTTCTTGAGGCATTTAGAAACAAATTTCTATTAGGGTTTGATGCGTTTTGATGCCTAATAAAGCCAGAAAATCAATTTTTGTAGAATTCGGTCCAAAACGGTACAGGTGGCGCCATCTAGCGGCGAGCGGCGGAACTACGAAAAACTAAAATTTCGATTTTCTCCGGAATTAGGCAATTTTACGTATTTCCGAGGGTCAGAAATTGCTCTGTGACCTCTCTAGAACTTACATATTGCCACAGGAACCTCCTCAGAGCGCTAGAAAAGAAAATAAAAAAAATGGTCAAAACATGGACTTAAAAATTGGCGTCCATCTAGCGGTGAAAGTTGGAATTACGAAAAACTAAAATTTCGATTTTCTCAAAAACTAGCGAATTTTAAGTACTTCTGAGGGTCAGAATACAATCTGTGACCTCTCTGCAACCTATATGGTGCCACAAGAACCCCCTAAAGGCGGTAGAAAAGAAAAGAAAAAAATAGCCCAAAACATGGACTAAAAAATTGGCGTCCATCTAGCGGTGAAAGTTGGAATTACAAAAACATAAAAATGCAATTTTCTCGAAAATTAGCGAACTTAGAGTACTTCTGAGGCTCAGAAAGTGTTATGTGATCGCATTAGAAGCAAAGTAAAGCAATAAAAGTTTCCTGAAAGCGTTAATAAAGAAAATAAAAAAAATGTCATTTTATGGAGAAAATTTGTGGCGCCATCTAGCGGCGAGACTGCGAACTAAACTGAGAAACCGTATGTCCGAACACGCAGTAAAGGGAACATAGAAAAAAGAATTTTTTAAAAGATATAAAACTACAAAGTATTGCATATAAAAATAATGCAATTTATGGACTAAAAAATTGGCGTCCATCTAGCGGCGAAACTGCGAACTAAACTGAAAAAATGTATATCCGAACATGCAGTAAAGGGGTCAAATAAAAATTGATTTTCTGGGCTTAATAGGCAGAAAAATGAATAACTTATTAAACAAAAATTGCTTTGAAATGTCTATGGAAGCTTACTAAGTCGTCAAAGTTGCGAAATATTACTTCTTATATTTTTCTTTAACGCGTGTACGGGCATACGTTTTTCGGTTTAGTTCGCAGTTTCGCCGCTAGATGGCGCCACAAATTTTTCCCATAAAATGACATTTTTTTTATTTTCTTTATTAA